TAACAGCAATGTTGTAATAATGATCAGTTGTGAAAGACTTGGCTACTCTGATCAGTACAATAATCAAAGAGAGTTCCAAAGGACTCACAATGAAAAAATGCTATATACTTCTAGAGAGAGAAAAGTAATTGAACTGAGAGCAAACTGAGGTATAATTTTCCCCCTTTCCTTATTTTTCTTGACTTTTTAAAAAAATATGTATAATACGGAAATGTTTCGCATGATTTCACATGTATAATTGATATCATTTTGCTTGCCATCTCAGTGGGTGGGGAAGGGAAAGAAGGGAGAAAGAGAATTTGGAACTCAAAATTTAAAAAGAAAATACTAAAAACAAGTAAATAAATAATTGAAGGTATGGTTTTTGAAAAAAAGAAGCCCTTTTAGAACATTTTGTGTGAGTACTTGCTTATTCTTTGTGTATTTTTTCTTGGCTATATGCTTCCTGCTTGCATCTTGTGAACATACACTTCTAGAATATTTAGCTCATATAAATTGGGAAGCTCCTTGTGAAGCTTCTCCTCTTTCACTAAGATGATTCTCAACTGTATTTTTAGAATAATTTTGAGGGCTTCTTTGTCATCTTCCCTTTCATAAACCTAAAATACCTGTCTCTTTTCTGAAGTTTTAAAAGTCCTCCTTCCTAAGTCTAATACATACAGAGTGTCCCAAAGTCTTAAATAGCTTAAAACTGCACTAAGACTTTGGAACACCTTGTATGTCTGATCATACATAAGCTTTCCCTCCTTTATTATCGAGAACTTTAAGACGACATAGTCACTTTCTCCCAAGGATCCCATCATTTTGATTTTACTAACCAGTTCTTCCTTGTTAATTGGAATTAAGTTTGGAGTAGGAGTTTCTTTTAGCATTTCATTTAAATTCTGAGAGGGGAAAATTTCAGAGGGAAAAAACTCTTTTCATAGATATATAAGTAGCTGATGACCTCAATAACAGCATCATGGATTTAAATCTGCAATGTACCTTCGTTATCTGATCCAACTCCTTCATTTTACAGAAGAGAAAACTGAGTCACAGAGAGTGGCAACTTATTCAAGCTATACTGATAGAAAGCAGAAGAGTCTTCTGACTCCAAATTCAGCATATTCTCCATACCATGCTGCCTACTCAGTTTGCCTCTACACACACATTTTGTTGTCTGTATCAGAAATTCAATTCAACTTATTTCTTCCATATGACCACAGGGTCTACAGCGTACAAGTTATATCAATGTAACTTCTGTTTCTCTCTCACTTCTTCCTTGCCTTCCACTGTTTTCCTCCCTCTGTGTCTCTATGTATATATGCAAAGATAGTTTGCTAAAGGGTATGTCCCTTCCTCCAGAAAATTAAAGACATTATCCAAACCTATTCTGAATATTTCCAAGAACAAGGAAAGGATTTACGACTTCAAAAATAATTTAAACAAATATTTATGTATCTATTACATAAGCAATGGATACAGCAGAGAAGACTTGGGTTCAAGATGTGCTTCTGATACATTTACTAATTAATTCTAATTCTATGACTCTAGGCAAATCACTTTTAAGTTCCCTAGACAATAATGTTAGTTGGTGAGCAGCTGCCAATCTGCATCACTGAAGAGCAACTCCTCACTGAGTTCCTTTCTTAGATGAAATCACAGTTTCCAGTTTTAAAAACTGTATATAACACCACACTAGTAGATGCAAAAGGAAACAAAGGCACTGGAGGAGAAAACAATTTATAAATAAAATGACCTCTGTCTTCCTGCAATCCACCATCCAATAGCCTACTCATTATCATGCTGGAGTAGCTTTGTTAGAAAGTTCTGATTTCTCTATCACTTACACACATTGGTCCAAGTTCTGCCTTCTAGATCCAAATGGAAAAATATCCAAATGACACAATACTACCTAGGTATACTGGATACATTGCAGCAAAGCAAGTATCCTTTTATACCTTCCTAATCAACTGATTACCCCACTCACCACAGAGGCTCACCCAAATTTCTTCATCTCTCCTTAAATATCCCATAGCTCCCTCTCCCCTCACTGTCTCTGTTAAGAAATTTGCCTCAGATTGCGATGAAAAAGTTATGGTCATCTGCTGAGAGCTACCATCTTCTCTTCACTTCATCTTGTATCAACCAGATGCCTTCCACCATTCTCCTTTATTCTGCTTTGATATAAGGTGGCCCATCTCCTTACAAAGGCAAACTCCTCTTCATGCACAAGTTATCCCGTTCCATCCTATCTTCTCCAACAGGTCCACTGCACATTCAAGAATCCCTAACTTGGTGCATCCATCCCATGATCTTTCATCCAATATCTCTCCTTAAGAAGGCCATCTCTACTTCCTTTCCTCACTCCCTCATTAATTCCCTAATTTGGCTTCCATTTCACCATTAAACTGCTCTTTCCAAAGTTACTTAATTGCCAGCTCTACTGACCTTGTCTCTCTCATTACAATGTAATTTCATTGTACTTGGATTCTCAGCACCTAGCATGGTGACTGGCAAATTGCAAGCACTTAATAAATGCCTATTGTCTGATTTTAGATAACTCTGAGTGTTACAAAGGTATTTCTTATATCAAGTCAAATTTGCCTCTGCACATTTCTGTTCATTGCTCCTAATGCTGTCTTTATAGGCTAAGGCAATGTTTACAACCCACTAAAATTCATAAATCTCTTACTAACAAATTGTTATTCAGCCACATATATTCCACCTTGCACTTGTGAAGTTAATTTTTTGAATCTGAGTATACAACATCTATCCCTAATTAAATTTCAACATATTAGACTTGGTCCAATGTTCTAGCCTATCAAGATATTTTTGAATTCTGATTCTGTCATCAATTGTGTTAGCTATCTTAATTCAATTTTGTGTCACTTGCAAATTTGATGACCATATCATACATGCTTTTATCCAAGTAACTGATAAATATGCTAACCAGCGTAGGATAAAACACAGTTCTCTGGTGTGCTTTAGTAGAGTTCCCTGGGGTACTTTCTAAGGTGATGTCAAACCATTAACAAATTTGTTAAATGCTTTGCTAAAATCTCAACTAAATCCTCAAATTCTGCCTACTTACTTCTCTGGATCCCTTTAAGTTCTAACTAAAATCCTATCTTTTACAGGAAGCCTTTCCCAATCCCTCTTGATTCTAGTGCTTTCCCTCAGTTATTTCCTATTTATCCTGTATATACCTTGCTTTGTATGTATTTGTTTGCTTGTTGTCTCCCCCATCAGACTGTAACCTCCCTGAGGGCAGGGACTATCTTTCACCTCTTCTTCTATCTCCAGTGCTTTGCCTTGTGCCTGGCACAATGTAGGCACTTAATAAATGTCAACTGATTGACTCTAGGTAAAGCACATCTATAATATTTCACTTATTTGCCAATTTAGTAACCTTGTCCAAAAAGGATTTGTGTTTAGTCCAGCATAACAAATTCTTCATACACTAGCTCTTTGTGATCACTTCTTTTTACATACGTCTATTAACTATCCCTTTATTAATATTCTAGACTTTTGCCAGGAAAAAAAATGTCAAGCTTATAATCCTATGGTTTATAGAAAGCTGTTTAATTTTTAGAAAATTGAGTCATTTGTCCTTTTCAAGTCCTGTGCTTCTCTCCCATACTACATTGTCTTTGCCAGATCACTGAGAAAAAGGCTTAGCAATCTCCCTGGCCAGGTCTTTCAGTACCTTGAGATGTAGACTCTCTGGACCTAGTGACTAGAGCTCAATGAAGTCAACTTTTACCAGCTCCTTACTTATCTCACATTTTAACTTTCCATTAGCCATTTTTGTGCTATCCTTTCTAGTTCAAAAATATTCTCCTTGACAAAGAATTCAGAAGCAAAATGAAAGACTGTGGATAAGTGAGGTCCCCTATAAGTGCTCTATCATATTTCCATATCAGGGTTGTGATATGACTCGAACTCCTCATCTAATTTCTATTTCTCTCTACTCCAATGACAATAAGGCTTCCATTACTGCCTCTGTTAATCTTTAACCTAACAATTTCCACCATAATCTTCTTTTCCAGGTAATGGATCCCCTTATACAAATAAGGCTTACTATACAATGCTATCACACTCTCTCCTTTTACCCTACTCTGTTTCTTTTGAATAAGGTATACTCTTACAGAACTTTATTCAAGTCATGGGTTTCCCATCCTGCAACTTTCAGTGATACCTGAGGATTCCGATTTATCTTCTTGAGTTATAGTCTCTTTTTGCTTGTCATTTCCTTGTTATTCACACTTTGTGTATTTACATTTTGATATCTGAGGCCATGTCAGGCGCCACCATTGGCTCCTCTTACACAATCCAAATTCATCCTACGAAGGTATGGGCATCTCTGTTGCTATTCTTCTTCCCACACTATAGGTATTCTCTATGATATCTATCCTGATAGATATATTTGACAATGAATTTGTGAAAATAAGTATTTTAAGTGTGTTAATTATACAATGGCATAATTTCAATAAGAGCTTAAAGTTGTGGAAAGTCTTACATTTTTTCCTAGACAGTTAAGGCCTCTTTGTAAAAATTTAAGATATTAAAAAAAAGGGCTGTGATATCTTAGGATTTTTATACTAGTATCCTGGTTTGAAGGCCTAAAAAGAAACACCTAAGCACGTGCAGACACAAAATTTATTAGTATATAAAGAACTAATAAGGTTAAGTCATTTAACACAGAGCTATTAGTATGCCAATGACTACTTTGATGATGAAAGAATATGTAAATGATTATAAAATTAAAAAATAAAATAATAATTACAGTAAACTCTTAAAAGCATGAATGGCCATAATAAATTTCAAGCACTAATTACAAAAACATTATTAAACTCTAAATGTTAGGTGACAACATAGCAGTCCAGGATGGCACTATAAACAAGGAGCATGAATAAACAAGTCCTGTAGGTGTTTTTTAGATGACATTCAATATTTTTACTGACCAACACCCCTCTCCCCTCCCCATTACAGAGGCACTGATACACTGCCCTCTGTACCTGGTACATCCTGGGGTAGCTCAGGAGCCACCTTCTTCTCTGCCATGTTGTTGCTATCATGAGTTTCTGAGGGGCACCCCACTGTGCTCTTCCCTTCAGAGGGACTAGTCTCTCCTGAAGAAGTATTTGTTGTGTTGTCGCCAGTATTTGTTGACACAGAGTTACCTTTATCCCCAACATCTTTTGGCTCTACAGTAAAATGCACAACAAAACTTTAAAGATATTCTTTAAAATTCCTTTGGTGGGACTGGCCACACCTAAAGAAAATCAACTGCTGAAAAATGGAATATCAATGATCCACACAATTCACCATAGACCATTTTGTGGCAATTCTGTTCTACATTATTTTAACAATACATTATTCACATAAAGTCAACAACATTCAAGAAGTTAACACAAAAAAAATAACATATATAAGCAAATCATTAATTCTTTTAGCATCATGTATGTAATTTCTTAGAAAAATATTTTATTTTCTGCATCATATCTCATGAAAAGGAAATGCTGGCCTGAAAAACAGAAGGAATTTTGAGCAGATGCATTATTATATTTCTACATTACTGACTACTAATTATTATATATGAAATACTTAAAATGTATCAATACCAACAATATAATTTTAAGTGGTTATATGCTATAAAAACCCCCAGTATATGCTTTATAAATTCTTCAGGTTAAAAAACCCCATACTTTATATATAACACCTCCGACACAAAGCTTTTTAAAACCAAGTAGTTTATTTACCCTCTGGTTTTCCTTTCTCAGAATCACCACCAGTTGTTTTTTCTTCTTTGCTTTTCTCCTGGGGTTGATCTGAAAGCTCTTGTTTGCTTTTCTCAGAATCTTTTTGGCTATTATTTTCAGATTCATTTTTGTCCTTGTCTGCTTCTTCTGGAACTGGACTCTTAGCATCTTCAATGTCACCTCCTTTTTTGGATTTGGTAGCTTCCAAAATTTCATCTATATAGTAAAGAGTTCAAAATTTTAAACCAGATACAATAAGCATACATACAAATCACTGAAGGCTTTTTTGTTGTTTTTAAGAAAATGTTAAGAAATCAACATAAAAAAAGCAACTGCTAAAAGCTGAAAATCACTGATACAAATCTACTATGCAATAAGTTAGTTTGTGGAAATTCTCAATAAAGTTAGAGAAGGGGTAAAATAAATATAAAGTATATTAGTGTTAGAAAATGTCAGTAGTTTTCAGGAAACAAATTATTAAATGTCCATATACAGAGCCTCAGAAAGTCTTAGTGCAGTTTTAAGTTTTTAAAACTTTAAAAGCCAAAAACTGCACTAAGATTTTTGGGAGTCCCTGTATAAATGTTTTTATATACATATACAAACAGTGTCAGTTTTTAAATGCACAACTTAACAGTCACCTCCTTTCTGCCAAGATCAAAGTATTAACTATAAGTCCTATTTTCACTGGGAATAAAATTGTCTGAGTAGAAAATATTCGTAATTCTTGAAATGTGGTAAAATTGTTTGCTTTAAGGCAGATGTTCAAAGTGTCTTCTGACAAGGAATAAAGCTTTGGAACAGCAGTAAATAAACATTGGTTCCAATTCTTCTGTGATCTTATATAATCTATAATCCCTATGAGCCTTGGTTTTTGTTGTTTTTTTTTTTAATCTGTAAAATCAGAAGGTTGGACTAGAAAAGCTCTAAGGCTCCTAAAAAGTTTTAACATTCTTTTTTTTAAAATTAATTTATTTTGATTTATCAACAATCACTTCCATATGCTTTTGAATTGAAAGTTTTTCTCCCCCTTCCTCCCCCCACCCTCCCAAGATGGCACACAATTTGATATAGGCTTTACATTTACATACCCATTAAACATATTTTCACATTAGTGAAGTTGTAAGTAAAAATTAAAACCAATAGGAGGAACCATCAGAAAGATGAAACAAAACTCAACAGAAGGTAAAAATAAGTGATAGCAATTCGACTTCCATAGTTCTTTCTTTGGATGTGGACAGCATTTTCCATCCTGAGGCCTCTGGAGATGTCTTAGATCCTTGTAAAGCTGAGAAGGGTTCAGTTTAACAATCTTATTCATTGCATAAAGTGGCTGCTATTGTGTACAAAGTCCTCTTGGTTCTGCTCACTTCACTCAGCATCAGACCGTGTAAGTCTTTCCAGGTTTTTCTGAAGTCAGCCTGTTCATCATTTCTTATAGCACAATAGTATTCCATTACATTCATATACCACAACTTGCTCAGCCATTCCCCAATTGATGGGCATCCTCTCAATTTCCAATTCTTTGCCACCACAAAAAGAGCTGCTATGAATATTTTTGTACATGTGGGTCCTTTTCCCATTTGTTTGATCTCTTTGGGATATAGCCCTAGAAGTGCTATTGCTGTATCAAAGGGTATGCACATTTTTGTAGCCCTTTGGGCATAGTTCCAAATTGTTGTCCAAAATGGTTGGATCATTTCACAACTCCACCAACAATATATTAGTGTTCCAATTTTCCCACATGTTCTCCAACATTTATCATTTTCCTGTTTTGTCATGTTGGCCAATCTGATAGGTGTGATGTGGTACCTCAGAGTTGTTTTGATTTGCATTTCTCTAATCAAATGATTTAAGCATTTTTTCATATGACTATAGATGGCTTTAATTTCTTCATCTGAGAACTGTCTGTTCATATCCTTTGACCATTTATCAATTGGGGAATGGCTTGTGCTCTTATAAATTTGTCTTAATTCTCTATATATTTTAGAAATGAGGCCTTTATCAGAGAGACTGTAAAAATTCTTTCCCAATTTTCTACCTTCCTTCTAATCTTAGTTGCATTGGCTTTGTTTGTGCAAAAACTTTTCAATTTAATGTAATCAAAATGATCCATTTTGCTTTTCATAATGTTCTCTATCTCCTGTTTGGTCATGAATTCTTCTGTTCTCCATAGATCTGATAGGTAAACTATTCCTTGTTCTCCCAGTTTACTTATGGTATCAGCCTTTATATCTAAGTCCTGAACCCATTTTGACTTTATTTTGGTATATGGTGTGAGATTTGGGTCTATGCCTAGTTTCTGCCATACTCTTTTCCAGTTTTCCCAGCAGTTTTTTTCAAAGAGTGGGTTCTTATCCCAGAAGCTGGGGTCTTTGGGTTTATCAAATAATAGATTACTATAGTCATTGACTACTGTGTCTTGCATATTTAACCTATTCCACTGATCCACCTCCCTATTTCTTAGCCAGTACCAAGCAGTTTTGATGATTGCTGCTTTATAATACAATTTAAGATCTGGAATTGCTAGGCCACCTTCCCCTGCATTTCTTTTCATTAGTTCCTTTGATATTCTGGACCTTTTGTTTTCCAAATGAATCTTGTTTTATTTTTTCTAACTCTATAAAATAACTTTTTTGGTACTTTGATTGGTATGGCACTGAATAAGTAAATTAGCTTAGGTAGGATTGTCATTTTTATTATATTAGCTCGGCCTACCCATGAGCAACTGATGTTTTTCCAATTATTTAGATCTGATTTTATTTGTGTGAAAAGTGTTTTGTAATTGTGTTCATAGAGTTCCTGGGTTTGTTTTGGGAGGTAGACTCCTAAATATTTTATAATGTCTACAGTAAGTTTAAATGGGATTTCTCTTTCTATCTCTTGCTGTTGGGCTTTGTTGGTAATATAGAGAAATGCTGATGATTTATGTGGGTTTATTTTATAGCCTGCAACTTTGCTAAAGTTGTTTATTATTTCAAGTAGTTTTTTACTTGATTCTCTAAGTATATCATCATGTCACCTGCAAAGAGTGATAGCTTTGTCTTTTTTTTGCCTATTCTAATGCCTTCAATTTCTTTTTCTTCTCTTATTGCTAAAGCTAATGTTTCCAGTACAATATTGAATAACAGTGGTGATAATGGACATCCTTGTTTCACCCCTGATCTTATTGGAAATGCTTCTAGCCTGTCCCCATTACATATAATGCTTGCTGAAGGTTTTAGATAGATGCTATTTATTATTTTAAGGAAAGACTCCATTTATACCTATGCTTTCTAGTGTTTTTAATAGGAATGGGTGTTGTATTTTATCAAAAGCTTTTTCTGCATCTATTGAGATGATCATGTGGTTTCTGTTGGTTTTGGTGTTGATATGCTCAATGATGCTGACAGTTTTCCTAATATTGAACCAACCCTGCATTCCTGGTATAAATCCTACCTGGTCATAGTATTATTCTTGTGATAAGTTGCTGTAATCTATTTGCTATATTTTGTTTAAAATTTTTGCATCTATATTCATTAGAGAAATTGGTCTATAATTTTCTTTCTATTTTGACTCTTCCTGGTTTAGGTATCAACACCATATTTGTATCATAAAAAGAATTTGGTAAGACTCCTTCTTCACCTATTTTCCCAAATTCTATAGTATTGGAATTAATTGTTCTTTAAATGTTTGATAGAATTCGCATGTAAATCCATCTGGCCCTGGAGATTTTTTCCTAGGGAGTTCATCAATGGCTTGTTCAATTTCTTTTTCTGAGATGGGTTATTTAAGTATTTTACTTCCTCTTCGTTAATCTGGGCAATTTATATTTTTGTAATATGTATCCATTTCACTAAGATTGTAAATTTGTTGGCATATAGTTGGGCAAAATAATTCCTAATTATTGTTTTAATTTCCTCTTCCTTGGTGGTAGCTTCGCCCTTTTCATTCTTGATACTAGTAATTTGGTTTTCTTCTTTCTTTTTTTAATTAAATTAACCAAAGGCTTATCTATTTTATTGGTTTTTTCATAAAACCAGCTCTTAGTTTTATTTATTAGTTCAATAGTTTTCTTAATTTCAATTTTCTTAATTTTTTCCTTTGGTTTTCAATATTTCTAAGTGTTTAGTTGAGGATTTTTAATTTGTTCTTTTTCTAGTTTTTTAGTTGTATGCCCAATTCATTAATCTCCTCTTTTTCTATTTTATTTATGTAAGCATTTAGAGATATAAACTTCCCCTAAGAACTGCTTTGCTGCCATAAGGTTTTGGTATGTTGTCTCATTATTGTCATTCTCTTGAATGAAATTATTGATTGTTTCTATGATTTGTTGTTTGACCCAATCATTTTTTAGGATTAGATTATTTAGTTTCCAATTATTTTTTAGTCTATCTTTCCATGGCCCTTTATTACATATAATTTTTATTGCATCATGATCTGAAAAGGATGCATTTAATATTTCTGCCTTTCTGCATTGGATTGTGAGGTTTTTATGCCCTAGTACATGGTCAATTTTTGTGTATGTGCCATGTACTGCAGAAAAAAGTATATTCCTTTCTATCCCCATTCAGTTTTCTCCAGAGGTCTATCATACCTAACTTTTCTAATGTTCTATTCACCTCCTTAACTTCTTTCTTGTTTATTTTGTGGTTAGACTTATCTAGTGCGAGAGGGGAGGTTCAGGTCCCCCACTAGTATAGTTTTGCTGTCTATTTCTTCCTGTAACTCCCTGAACTTCTCCTCTAAGAATTTGGATGCTATACCATTTGGTGCATATATGTTTAGTAATGATATTACTTCATTGTCTATGGTGCCTTTTAGCAGGATGTAATTTCCTTCCTTATCTCCTTTGATTAGATCTATTTTTGCTTTTGCTTTGTCTGAGATCAGGATTGCTACCCCTGCTTTTTTTTTTACTTCAGCTGACGCATAATATATTCTGCTCCAGCCTTTTACCTTTACCCTGTATGTGTCACTCTTTTTCAAATGTGTTTCCTGTAAACAACATATTGTAGGATTATGGTTTTTAATCCATTCTGCAATCCATTTCCATTTTATGGGAGAGTTCATCCCATTCACATTCACAGTTATGATTACTATCTGTGTCTTTTTCTCCATCCTTTCCCCCCATTTATGCTTTTCTTTCTCCTTTTCCCCTTCACTAGTGTTTTGCTTTTGACCACCGCCTCCTTCAGTCCCTTCCCCTTTTATTATCCCTTTCCCTTTTCTTCCCC